TCTATAATCTTACATTTCCCAACTAGCATTGTTAGTAATTAGTTCAATGTTTTTACTGGTTAAATTGGTTTTTATAGACAGGACAAATATTCTAAACACCATTTATAATATTTTGCTTATGGGGGAAATAACTTCTTAAAAAGCTGCAAACATTGCAACATTGTTTTAACAATGATTTGCAAGTCTATAGTTCTCAATAAATTATCAGAAAATGAGGAACACATCACAAGACATCTTTCTCTCATTTCTAAACCAAGAAATGTGAAGGAAATAAGTGTATCAGGACATTAAAAAAAAGTTCCCCATACATCGTGAATTTTCTTAGGCTGCTTGATTTCATGTGATTTTTAACCTCAATGCATAAATGTCAATGTAACTCAATTTGTATATGTCTGTACATCTTAACACATAATAAAACCACAAGTTTGAAAAATGCTTTATTAGACTAATCTTTGATGCCTAGCCTAATTCACAAATGATTTCCACATAACCTCAAAGCCAAGGGTTTTGACTCTCACCACTGTGGGGAGGGGTACAGCCTCTGGGGCAGAGTTAGCCCAACTAACAGAAAGAGAAGGTGTTGGTTGCTGTTATAAATCTATAACACCCTACAAATGCTGGACTCAGCCTCCATGAGACCTCACTTTCTACTGTTCCTTCCAGGAACTCCATTTTGGCCAACCAATCATCCGATGAGGAATCCAAGATGAAAACCTCAAAGTTATCTTCAATATCTTCCTTTCCTTCCCTATTAAATCTTTCCCCTTTTCTTCTCTGCCTCGATCGACTTATTCATTCATCAAACTTTCTCTGACAGTCTAGTATATTCAACATCTGGATTAATGGATATGAGCCCTGTCAATCTCCCTTTTGACACTGCCATTAGTAAGTTCTCAACACTCACCTGGACTGTGACAACTGTGGGCAGCTGCTCAGTCTGCCTATCTTCCAATCCACTCTTCATTGTCTTATCAGCGCTATCTTCCCAATACAAAGGTGCCCTCCTTGGCAACAACTGTCCCCAAAGCCTTCAGCAGCCTGACTCTGGTCTATCTTCCTAGCTTTCTCAAACCATTCCCAGAATAGCCTATGCCCCTTCAGAGGTCTGAGACTTTATATCCGTCCCCTTCCTGGAGTGTCCTTCTTCATCTTATCTACTTTTCAAAGTTCTATTTATTCTTTGAAGTTAAGTTCAAATGTCACCTCCTAAAAACATTCCAAATATACTTGTTATAAACTGTCCTTTAACATATTCCTTTTTTCTGGAGGTATGTCATTTAGCTTTATATTGTAACTATTGGGAATACGTTGTTTGCCCCATGAAACTTGTACGCTTCTCGAGTTTAGGCCCCGTGTTAGAATTGTTTCCACATGATCCAGAGCATTGCTCTGTTATATTTTAAGTTGAGCTGAATACGGTACCCAAATTGGACCTATCAAATATTTGTCATGTCAATTTTTATTGGTCAAAGAGCAAAGCCAACAGTGGTCTTAGTATTATTTTTTCTTTTTAGCTCCTTCAGTAAAAACACATTCTCATAAATTAATATAATAACACCTTCATGCCTCTAAGTTCTGGATTCTATCTTAGCCCACAAGCTCCATATCTATCTTAATGAACTCCCCTCGATCCCCAGTCCTCACGGTCGATGAATATAGCCTCTAGCCAATGTGACAAAAGGTGGTCCTTGTACCACCTGCATTCTTGCCACCAAATGTGCAAGTTAAAAATTCAGATTCTAGACCCTACTCCTGAGTCAGAATCACTGAGAATGGGGCCTGAGAATCTGCATTATTAATAAGTGTCTCCAGGGTGCAGTGCATAGGAAACCTTGAGAATCTTCAAGGTTGGGCTGGCTGGTTTGGCTCAGCGGTTGGAGCATCGGCCTGCGGACCAGAGTCCCAGGTTCAGTTCTCGCTAGGTGCACGTACCAAAAAAAAAAAGAGACAGAGAATCTTGATTCTAGAAATTCTTCAAAGGGCTTGGTTGGGGGCTGCCTCAAGAATTTGGTGGATTCTTTGAATTTCTTATTAGCTCTAAGAATGACTAGACTACAAACATCATAGAAGGTGAACACTGAAATGTCCTTATAATTCATACAGTTCGCTTGCTGAGATTAGAAAGGTAAATGAAAGCTTGTGGGATTCAGAGGAATGAGAAAGCAAGGAATTGAATTTGGCCCTAATCTGTTATCATTGGGCAAAAGGGTACATATCTGAGGTTAGGAAAAGCTATTACATTTAAGACCTTCCTTCAGTTTAAGGCCTGACCTTCCTTTCGCCCCTTTCCATCTTTTACACAGAACACTTTATCTATAAACCTTTAGACTAAATGGGAAACTAAAATCACTAAGAACCTGCTCAATGTTAGGCATCATGCAAGGTGCTTTCCACATTCTTCTCATTTAATAGACCACCTGTGAGGTTACTTTAACAAAATTGTTTTTTCCTTTATTGAGTTTAGAGAGAGAGAGATAGAAACATTGATGAGAGAGAACATTGACTGGCTGCCTCCTGCATGCCCCTCACTGGGGATGGGGCACACAATCTGGGCATGTGTCCTGACCGGAAATCGAACTGGTGACCTCTTGGTGCTTGGGTCAATGCTCAACCACTGAGCCACACCAACTGGACTGTGAGGTTACTTTTTTTTTTTATCCTCACCTGAGGACACCTTTGCATTCATCTTCAGACAGAGCGGGAAGGAGAGAGGGAGGAAGAGAGAGAGAGAAACATCAACATGAGAGAGACACCTCGAGTGGTTGCCACCCACACGACCCCAACTAGGGCCAGGGACAAACTGCAACCGAGGTACGTGCCCTTAGTGGAAACTGAACCCGGGACTCTCCAGTCCGTGGGCCGATGCTCCAACCGCAGAGCCAAACCGGCCAGGGCTGAGGTTACTTTTTAAATCCCATTTTGCAGAAGAGGAAATTTAGAGTCTGAGAGATTAAGAAAACTGCTAGTTAGGTAGATTAATTAATCAGGTAACTAGGTTAAGTTAGATAGATAAGTAAACTGCTATTACATAAATGGCTAGTTTCAAATCCTAGTTCTACCATTTACCAGTTGTATGACCCTTAACTTCTCAGGGTCTCAACAGCATCAGGGATAAAACAAGGGACACACATCATCTTGCTCATAAGATGCTGAGGACTTGCAGTGAAATTGGGTCCCTATAGCACCCAGCACAATGTCTGGCCCTAAGTCAGTGTCAGCAACCATTCCTTCACCCTTCTAGCCTAGGCTTTTTTTGTTTTTGTAAATTTTTATGAGGGAGCAGGAGTCTGAAAAGGCCTCTGCTATTTTAAATCATGTTCATAGGTGCCCAGGAACACTGTTGGCGCTCACAGCCAGTAGCACTTCCTTTATTCTGAGGGTTCATTCAGGCAAAAGAAATTCTCATCAGCCTCTGGCCTCTTTTCAGCCCCGAAGAGGCTGTGATGTGAGCAGCTGGGGCAAGCAGCCCTTGTGAGTCATGCTTTCAGCTTCCAGCTGGCGACAGGAAGGGCAGGAAGTAACAGCGCCGCTGCCAGCAACCACAGCCAATCCCCGCCTTTCCACCGCTGGGTTTCCCAGACCACGTCAGTGAGCCCAGAGCATGGGGTGGCTGCCAGACCGGCCGAGAGTCTCAGCAACTTTGTCACGTTTAGTTTGTCAAGTTCCTGCAAACTGGAACAGGGATCACCCTGCTGGGAGGATGGAGCACCTTGTTTGAATATGAGTTCTCTGATGATGATGTCATATCGTGATTTTGTTGCAGTTAGTGAATATCAATGCCTCTAGTAGCGATCACGAATGGTTTTGGTTTATTGATTTTTTTTTTTCTGTGAGCATTGAAGTCTTGAGGACAAGGAGGGGCATTTATCACAATGTTATGATTTGTGCTCCTAGACTGGCTACAGTTTCATTTCATCTTTTGGTGCTAGGCTGAAAACCAAAAAGATGTCAGAATTGTCACCCAGAGTCTGATGCATGTTCTCTCCATCTTGCTCATCTGTCTTGGACAGTGGCCACAGAACATGTCCGTCAGCCTCCTCTTCTCCCTCTTAATAACCTATGTCTTAGACAAGACAAGAGTCTCCAGGTCTGGGCTATTCTCACTAAATGCTATTCTTGCTAAATGTTAAAATGTATTTTGCAGACCAGATGTAAACAGGATGAGCCTGACAAGTTCTCATCTATTGATATGATCACATGGTTTTTATTCTTCATTTTGTTTATATGGTGTATCATGTTCATCGATTTGCAGATATTGTACCAAACTTGCATCCCCACAAATAGAGTATAACATTAAAACCAAGAAAATGACATTGGCACAATCCATAAAGTTTACTTAGAGTTCACCAATTACAAATGCACTCGTGTGTGTGTGTGTGTGTGTGTGTGTGTGTCTGTAGCTCTATGTAATTTTTTCAGGTGCTTTTTATACATAAACTATATACTTATACACTGTTCTACCACTTTTTAAAAAACCCTCACCCAGGGACATGTTTTTATTTATTTTAGAGATAGGAAGAGAGAGAGAAAAACATCGGTGTGACAGAGAAATATCAATTAGCTGCCTCCTGCACACGCCCAGACCAGGGATCAAATCTGCAACTCAGGTATGTGTCCTGACTGGGAATTGAACCCGCAAACTTTTGGTGTATGGGACAATGTTCCAAACAACTGAGCCACTTGGCCAGGGCTGTTCTACCAATATGAAATCAGATGATAGGAATGAATAAAATGACTTTCTTCAGTAAAACAATATCTACCAACTATTATATGGATGGCCAGTTTTCCATATCTAGTTGCAATTAAGAAGAAAAGAAAGGAAGAAATCCTATAAACCTCAGCTCTTGGGAGTACTAGTCCATGCTACATTCTTTTTTGGGCATATTTTCTGGAACTGATGATAGGTATAAAACGGGGGAACTTGATTTATTGGTAATTATAGCAGCAGCAGCAGTCTCTCTTGTCAGAAACTTCTATCAGTAAAAGAAAGGTGATCATACCTTGCCTTCAAATTTAGTCTTGTCATCTTCCTTTACCAAGGAGTTCAAATATGTCTCTGCATAAGGTTCCTCGGGTGTTTTCTGAAGAGGAGCTAAAAGGACAAAGAAAACCTGACATTAATTTGCCAATTTGGCTTATAAATAACTCAGCACTTAGACTGCCTAGAACAAGCAGCTGGACTGTGTTGAGGCAGTTGATTAACAAAGCTAAACTGAGACACTGCAATGGATTTCGATGGTAGGTGATTTTGGCGGTGAAGGAGAGATGCAAAAGTGAAATAGGTTCCTTGACCCCATGCACTTGACATTTGAGCTAAAGAGGCAAAAGTCACACTCAACACCAGATGATACATTCAATCACAACAAATCAGTAATGAGGTAATATGGTAAAAATGATAGCTTCCATCATTTCTTTTTTTTTTTTTTTTAAATCTTCACCCAAGGATATTTTTCTATTTATCTTCAGATAGAATGGGAGGTAAGGAGGGAGGGAGGGAGAGAGAGAGAGAGAGGGAGAGAAACATTGATGTGAGAGGGGCACATTGATTGGTTGCCACCTGCATGACCCCAACTAGGGCCAGGGATGAACCACAACCGAGGTACATGCCCTTGGCTGGAATTGAACCCCAGACTCCCTGGTCTGCAGGCCGATGCTCTAAGCGCTGAGCCAAACTGGCCAGGGCCCACCATTCCTATTAAAAACAATTTTTTTCCCTTTATTGATTTTAGAGAGAGAGGAAGTAAAAGGGAGAGAGAGATAGAAACATCGATGAGAAAGAACATTGATTGGCCACCTCCTGCATGCCCCCCACTGGGGATCAGGCCCACAACCTGGGCATGTGTCCTGACCAGGAATCAAACTGGTGACCTCTTGGTGCGTGGGTTGATGCTCAACCACTGAGCCACACCGGCTGGACCTCCATTCCTATTTTTTTTACTTTTTTTTTTTTTAATCCTCACCCGAGGACTTTTTTCCACTTTTGTTCAGATAGAGTGGGAGGGAGAGAGAGGAAGAGAGAGAGAGAAACATGGACATAAAAGGGACACATCGAGTTGCTGCCATCCACACGACCCTTACCAGGGCCGGGGACGAATCACAAACAAGGTTTGTGACCTTCACTGGAATCAAACCCGTGACTCATTGGTCCGTGGGCCGATGCTCTAACCGCTGAGCCAAACCAGCCAGGGCCCATCATTCCTATTCTTAAGGCCCAGCTAAAGTATCATTTTCTTTATGAAGTCTTCCTCGGCTTTCAAACTTCACAGATCCTTTCATGCATCACTGCTTGAGCATTTATCCTCTGTACTGTATTTGATGTTATCTTTGGATGAGAAGACCAGATTCAAGTCTAGGTATCACATACTATTGAATATATTTCTCCATCCTACAGGTAATTAGTTTGTGCTTATTACAGGCGTCCCCGCCACTTCGCGCGTTGACTTCCACGGCTTCCCTGTGTCACGGTTCTTCAAATATATTCATTAAAAAGTTGATCGAGGCAGTGACAATGATACAGCACGCACTCAGTTGTCTGAGCCAATTATACACCCCAGTATTACAATTACAATTAAAATTACTGTACGTATGGACTGTAGGCCTATGTATTCGAGCACCCCAGGGATCTTCAATGCCAGGTGCAACCACTAGAGTCTGGCACGGATTAACCGCAATAAACGAGGGACAACTGTATAGAAAAATTTAATACTGTAATACTAAAATCTTACTACTTAAACACAATCTCTTGGTATATTTCCTTATAATCTGCTTTGAGAAGGGCACGTGCGCTCTCTCTCCACACACACTCACTCACTCACTCAATCTATGATTATATAGAGGGATGTCCACGTAGGCCTTACCAGGAGTTGCTGCTAATCTGATGATCAGGCAGTTGGAGTCCAGAACTGATGGAATCACATTTATTAGTGGATAATATGACTGTGGGAAGAATCAGGTGGCTGAGTCGGGAGGGAATCGGGCTTTCTTTCTCTTGCATTCTTCTCTGTCACACTGTTTCCCTGCTCCCCTTCACACAGACATCTGGGAGATAACCTCTTTCAGGCTTCATGGCCATTGGCAGTAAGACTGGGACTTACAAGGCGAATGAGTAAGTGGTACTTTGCATTCTTATTTGTCAGCGTCACCACATTGTATATACAGTTCCCTTGGGAGACTCACAGGATATACGTGATTCATCGGAGACAGGATTTTGAGCATTTCTAGGCCCCATGGCCAAATGCCATCTATCTAATGCTACAGATATATCACCCTGATTTTTATCTGAGGTGGCCTTGGTGGAGGTTGACCATCTAACTTCCAGAAGCCCCTGGCAATCTTCATTCTGTGAGCCCACGGGAAACAGTTTGGGCTTGCTATGGGGTTTTCATGGAGGTTATGTTGAAATCTGTAGTGGAGTACATGTTTGCTGCCCCAGGTTATATGACCATTAAAGCTACAACAATGGACAGTCCTCTGGGCTCCTCACTTTCTGCAAGATCTCTATAAGCTGAGTGATTCCAGGTATAATAACTGAATGCTTGAAATGCATTCACTGTAACTGGCAACACCCATGACTGAGAGGTACCTGCCCTTAACACTATTAAGTATAGTGACACAATTAAAGGCAGGGATGTGCGAGAAATGCTGCCATCGTTCAAGTCTTACTCTTTCATGTAGGAGACACACACTACAGAGAAGTCTCTGTGCCTTAGCTTCTTCATCTGGAAAGTGGGGAATAATGAGAAAGCTTATAGGATTGGGTTGCGTAAGGCTTTAATGAGTTAATATGTACAAAGTGTTATGATCATGGTAAGCACTCGGTACATTTTAGCTATTATGTAGCCACATGGCATTCAAAAGATTTTTTTTCACATTCCTTATTTAACTTCAGAAAGGTTAAATGTTGTTCCCAAGCCCAGCCTGTGTGGCTCAGTGGTTGAGGATCAACCCATGCACCGAGAGGTTGATGGTTCGATTCCCACGCCGTGGGCCAAATCCCCAGTTGGGAGGCATGCTGGAGGTGACCAATCAATGTTCTCCCTCATCGATGTTTCTGTCTCTCCCTGTCCATTCCTCTCTCTCTCAGAACAATAAAGACACCTAGCTAACAAGAGTCAGAGCTGACATTTCAGCTCCCATCTCTAAGCTCCCTGCCCATGTTCCTTACACTATGAAATACAGTGGTTTGTCTTGGCACAGACTCAGTTACTAAGGAATTAGACGATGTGTTTAAAATCCCGTTAGTGACGTGCCTGAGTCCTTACTCAGTGTTTACACTCCAAAACAAAGGTCCAAGAGTGTTCTGCAGAATGAGCATGTGGCTTGACTAAGGTCAGCGGTACCTGTTCAGACACGACGAACATCTGTTTACCCTAGGAGGGCCATTGCCTATTATGAAATCATGTGTTTGAAAAACTAAGAAGCAATTCATCATTCCTGTTTTATTTATCTGTAACAAATATATATCCCTTAAAACAGTGAGAGGCAAAGTCATGGAAGTAAACATAATTTAGTTTTGTCAAAGGGCCCTACATGAGAGATCAGGAGAGCCAAGTCCTGTTTCCAGCCACCCGAGAAGGATGTCTCCATGTGTGTCAGTGTTTGTGTGTATCTGTAGTACGTGCCCGTAAGTGTGTCTGACTGTGCATGTGTTGTGTGTGCGTGCGCATGCACATGGAAAAATTCAGGAAAGAAATGCACTAAACTGTTATCAAAGTTTACTTCTAAAAACTGGAATATATAAGAGGCAGGGGACTGCAAGTTGTACTAAATGGAACATTTTCGAAATACCCCATAGTTTTCAGATAAATAACAAGTGAAAGTATTTGTTGCAAACAGAGCTGCACAACAATAAATGCTAAAGGAAGTTTTTCAGCCTGAAGGGAAATGACACAAGGTACTAATTCAGAAAATAGTGAATAAGATGGTAAACAAAACCTATATATATTTCTCTTAATTTCTTTAGAAGATATATGATTGTTTAAGGCAAAAATTTATAACACATTTTTGGGGGATTTAACCTAGGTAGATGCAGGATTTATGATAAGAATAGCACAGAGGATGGGTGGAGGAGGGCATGTGGAACTATATAGTTGCAAACTTCCTATATTCTGCTACAATATTAACTCAAAGTAGATTTGAGATAAATTAGGGATGCATGTGATAATCCCTAAAAGAAACATCTGGGAAAAGGCAATGCAAAGAGGTATGTATACTAAAAAGTCAATAGTGGAATTAAAAAGGAAGACTAAAAGAAATTTGCTAACCCAAAAGTGGGCAGGAAAAGAGGAACAGAGAAATAAATAAAACATATGAGACAAGTAGACCACAAATAACAAAACAGTAGCTCTAAATCCAACTGTGTTCTTAGTTACATTGTATATAAATGGACTAAACACCCCAATTAGAAGGCAGCGGTTAACAGAATGTGTTAAAAGGAAAGACACAACTATGAAATACACTTTATTTTTTTCCACTTATCTTTTTTTTTTTTTTTTTATCCTCACCTGAGGCTATTTTTCCATTTTTTTGTACAGATAGAGTGAGAGGGAGAGAGAGGAAGGGAGAGAGAGAGAGAAACATCGACGTGAAGGGACACATCGAGTAGCTGCCACCCGCATGACCAACCAGGGCCGGGGACAAACTGCAACCGAGGTACATGCCCTTAGCGGGAACCGAACCCGGGTCTCTCTGGACCGCAGGCCGACGCTCTAACCGCTGAGCCAAACCGGCCAGGGCACTTATCTTTATTGTTGAATGTATTACAGATGTCCCTCTTTTTTCCCCCTTGACCCCTCCTCCGCAGTCCCATCCCGCTCCTGCTTTCCCCACACTCTTGTCTATATCTATCGGTTATGCATATATGCATATAAGTTCTTTGGTTTCTCTCTTCCCACCCCTTCCCTCTGAAGAAATATATATATATATATAAATAAAAATAAAAATAAAAAGGAAAAAGTGTCTCATGCAAACACTAAGCATAAGAAAACTGTGATGGCTGTATTAATATCAGACAAAAATAGACTTCAATACAAAGAGTTTTACTAAAGATAAGGAGGGAATGAGAGATTTTATAACTATAAAAGGGCCAGTCTATCTGGCAGATAAAACAACTATAAATATGCATCTTTTTGAAAACAGAGTTTCAAAATACATGAAGCAACAAATAGCATATACATCATGTCCAAGAGTGCTTTCTCTCAAGAATGTATGACTGCTTTAACATTTGAAAATAAATCACTGTAATCCATCATATTAACAAAAAGGGAGAAAACTATATGATCATCTCAACATACAGCACCAAAAAAAGCATCTGAAACATTCAACAATCATTCATGATGAAAACTCTAATTAAACTAAGAACAGAAGGAAACATCCTCACCTGATAAAAGGCATCTGAAAAAACTTACTAACCTCATACTTCAAAGTGAAACAACTCTTTCTCCTAACACTAGAAAAAGACAGAGACGTTTGCTTTTACTATTCTATTCAACATTGTACTGGAGTTCCCAGCCATTAGAGTAACACATGGGAAAAAAAGACATAGAGAGTGAAACAGGAGAGGTAAAATTGTCCCTATTCAGGTGACATGATTGTATTTCCCTTTAGAAATATATTCCTATTGAGAGTTATATATGGTAATTCTATTTACTATAGGGTTAAAAGAAAACATGAAATTCCTAAGACCTGTATGTACACTAAAAACTGCTATAATGCCAAGATAAATTAAAGAGGACCTAAATAAATGGAGAGCTATAATATTTATAATCAGAAGACTCAATATTGGTATAACAGTTCTCCCCAGTGCAATCTCAATTATAGTCTTAGCAGAAATCAAAAGGGGATTCTAAAATTTATATGGAAATGAAAAGGACCTAAAACAGCCAAAACAAGAGAAAGAATGAAGTTGGAAGACTTACACTACCTGATCCCAAGGCTTAGCAATAAACTATAGTAATCAAGACCACATGGAAGAATAAACTCAGAATGGATAACAAACTTAAAAGTAAGCCGAGGGCCCTGGCCGATTTGGCTCAGCAGTTAGATGTCAGCCCGTGGATCAGAGAGTCCTAGGTTCGGTTCCTGATAAGGGCACAGTTTGTCCCTGTCCCCTGTTGGGGTCATGTGGGTGGCAACCACTCGATGTGTCTCTTTCACATCGATGTTTCTCTCTCCCTCTTTCCCTTCTGCTTTATCTGAAGATTAAAAAAAAAAAAAAAGTAAGCTGAGGAATCACAAAAGTCTTAGAAGAATCACAAAAGTCTTAGAAGAAAACATAAACATCTCAGACATCTCTCATAGCAATATTTTTGCTGACATATCTCCTTGGGCAAGGGAAACAAAAGAAAAAGATGAATAAATAGGACTATATCAAATTAAAAAGCTTTTCCACACCCAAAGAAACCAACAAAATGAAAAGACAACTCACTATATAGGAGAACATATTCACCAGTAATACATCCCATAAGCTGTTAATTTCCAAAATATATAAAGAACTTGTACAACTCAACACCAGAAAGACAAAACAACTCAATTAAAAAATGGGCAAAGAACCTGAATAGACACTTCTCTGAAGAGGACATACATGGCTAATAGACATATGAAAAAAATGCTCAACGTCACTAATCATCACAGAGATGCAAGTGAAAACCACAATGAGATGTTACCTCACACCTACCAGAATGGCTACTATCAATAAATCAACAAACAGTGCTGGGAGGATGTGGAGAAAAAGGAACCCTCATGCACTCTTGGTGGGAATGCAGTCTGGTGCAGCCACTATGAAAAAAAAGTATGAAGTTACCTCAAATTATTAAAAATAGAACTTCTTTTTGCCCTGGCCGGTTTTGCTCAGTGGTTAGAGAGTTTTCCTGCAGACCAGAGAGTCCTGGGTTTGGTTCCCACTAAGGGCATGTACCTCGGTTGCGATTTGTCCCCAGCCCCTGTTGAGGTCGTGTGGGTGGCAGCCACTCGATGTGTCTCTCTCTCACATTGATATTTCTCTCTCTTCCTCCCTCTCTCCCTCCTGTTCTATCTGAAGATAAATGAAAAAATATCCTCAGGCGAGGGTTAAAAAGAAGAATAAGAAAAAAAAAGACCATGTGGGTATAAGGATTTATCTATTTTTTAAATATTTTCAAAGAACTAACTTTATCACTTCATTGCTAATGAAATCTGGTGGGACTTTTAAATGTCCTTAATGGAGTCTCTTTTATGTGGATGTTATTTATGCAGTTATATTATTCCTCTGCTAGACTGTGAGTTTCTCCTTGCATCCAGGCACTAAGTTTTATCAAACTTTGTAAGTCCTCAACACCTGTACTATTTTATATCTGTAGCTTGTTTTAAATAATATCTGTCCAAACAGCAACCAGTACTCATATTAAACAACCACAATCTCCACCATCATGAGAACAAAGCCACAAAGCTTCCTTTCCCAAATAACCTACCCAAGGTAGAGGGCTGGCTGCTTTTTGGTGACACCCATTTTGGGGAGGACTCAGGATGTGGGGCCACAGGTTGCACAGGGCGAGTCTGTCTGGCTGCCAGTTTCATCAGACTCATTTGCCTTTTGTGAAATATTTCTTGTACATCACTCAGCTTCTGTAGGACTTTCTGGGCTTTGGCCTGCAGAAACAAAAGCAAACCATGAGATCCTTCTGCACTGAGCCTGAGGACAATACGCATTCCCTTTCTCCCATCATTCCCTCTCCCCCTCCCCAACCTCCCTCAGGTGACCCTTCTTTGGCCATCCACACGCAAGTCATCCTGCATCTTGCCTTGCACCAGAATTGTGCTTCCAGGAGTCTGCATCTCCCACCTGATTGGCTATGACTGCATCCTTTTCACTACTGCATCTCCAGTGCACACTGCCTAGTGCTTGGTAAATACATGCTGAGTGGATAAATGTCCACGAAGCCATGTCCATTCATGGGAGAAAAGGATGGCATAAGCCATGGATGGAGAGCATTATGCCAACTTACAAAATAAAAGAATTTAAAAATTAGGACTATACCCTGAATAAAGTCCCTGGTAGAGAAAAGAGTTTAAGTGTTCTGGGGGAAAGAGTTGGCTAAGTTCTGAAACAGGACCAAGGAAACCACATGCACCTATAAAATAAAATAAAAATATACATATTTAAATGCTATTCAGTGTGACTCCTTTTCCTATAAGCAGGAAAGAAATAAACTGAAGAAATACCAGGGACGAGATGAAACTCACAGATGTTTCCATGACTGACGATGTGCTCTAAGGCAGAGAGAGGTTCAGGAGACTACGAAACAAAACTCGAATGTCTTTCAATTTCACTAAGGTCTGAATTCAGCTGAACATATTTTTTTCGGCCTCACTTTTACCATGACAGCCCTCTAGCTCTGGTGGGTCACCTTTTCTTTGTCATGCTGACATGTCTTGTGGATGATTTTAACCACCAAAGAAGGGACCCAGAATTAGAAGAGCTGAACCATGCAGGGTGCTTTGAGGATGCCTAATTCCGAAAGCACAGGCTCAGCACACACCCACAGAGGTTGCCACATTTTGCAACTGGAAACATAACTTTATCTTTTTTATACTGGGCCATCTTCTGAGGGAAGGAGCCAGAATCTCTGAGGCAGGACTGGAGTGTCAGTTATAGAAAAACGGTTCCCCTACAGCCTGCGGGTCCTGTCAAGGCTGACCTCTGCACCAGGATCTGGGGCTCGCCACTCTCTTTGGAGGGTCTGCGTGATGACCTGCGTTGTCCTATAGTAACCACTAGCCATATGAGGCTGTTCAGCATCTGAAATGGGTCTGGTCTGAACTGAGCTGTGCTGGCAGTATAAAACAGACACGGGATTTTGAAGACTTAGCATGAAAAAAAGAACATAAAATATCTCAATTTTTATATCAATGGTATGTTGAAATAATATTTTGGACATAGGTTAAATAAAATATTATTAAACTTGATCTTGTTTCTTTTCACTTCTTAAAATGTGGCTACTAGAAAATCTCATTAGCTCACATATGTGACTTACATTATTTTTCTAATGGACAGTGTTGGTCTGGACCAGGGTTTGGAAAACTATTTCTGTAAAAGTCCAAACAGTAACACTTTCAGGCTTTGCAGACCATCTGGTTGCTGTGGCAATTACTGCATGCTGCTTTTGCTGCATAAAAGTAGTCACAGATCACAGACAACGTGCAAATGAGTGAGTGTGGCTGTACTCTGATGAAACTTGACTTACAAAATTAGATGGCAAACAAACTGGACAACCTAGGCAAAATGGAAAATTTTCTAGAATCACACAGTCTCCCAAAACTGAACTGGGAAGAGAGAAAAACTGAACAGACAAACAACAACTAAGGAAATTGAAGATGTAATCAAGAAACTCCTAGCAAACGAAAGCCTAAGCCTGGATGGCTTCACAGGGGAGTTTTACTGAACATTCAAAGAACTAACACCCCATTCTCCTCAAACTATTCAAAAAAATTCAAGAAGAAGGAAGACTTTCAAACTCGTTTTATGAGGCCAGCATAATTCTAATTCCAAAACCAGATAAAGACACTACAAAGAAAGAAAACTACAGGCTAATATCCCTGATGAACATAGATGCCAAAATCCTTAAAAAATATTAGCAAATTGGATCCAGCAATACATCAAAAAAATTATTCACCATGACCAAGTGGCATATATCCCAGGGATGCAAGGCTGGCACAATATTCACAAATCAATAAATTTGATACACCACATAAACAAAATGAAAGATAAAAACCATATGATAATATCAAGAAACGCTGAAAAAGCATTTGACATAACCCAGCACCCATTTCTGATGAAAACACTCAGCAATTTGGGACTAGAGGTATCATATCTCAACATAATAAAGGCCATATATGACCAATCTACAGCCAACATCATACTCAATAGGCAAAAACTGAAAGCATTTCCCTTAAGAACAGGAACAATACAGGGATGCCCACTTTTGCCACTTTTACTTAACATAGTACTGGAAGTCTTAGCCACAGCAATTAGACACAAAGAAAAAATAAAAGGGATCCAAACTGGAAAGGAGGAAGTAAAACTGTCATTATTTGCAGATGACATGATATTGTACATAGAAAACTCTAAAGACTCCATCAAAAATCTACTGGATTGAATAAATGAATTTGGCAAAGTGGCAGGACACAAAATTAACATCAAGAAATGGATGGCATTCTCATACACCAATAATGAACTCACAGGAAGAGAAACTAAAAAAACAATCCCATTTACCACTGCGGCAAAAAAACTAAGATCCCTAGGAATAAACTTAACCAAAGAAGTTAAGTACCTATTTGCAGAAAACTATAGGACATTGAAAAAAAAATAGAGCAAGATATAAAAAAGCAGAAGCATATACCTTGTTCCTGGATTGGAAGGATTAACACCATTAAGATGTCCATTCTACCCAAAGCAATCTATAGATTCAACGCAATCCCCATTAAAATACCAATGACATATTTCACAGAACTAGAACAGATACTTCAAAAGTTTATATGGAACAACAAACAAACAAACAAACAAACAAAACCCGAATAGCAACAGCTATCTTGAAAAAGAACAAAGTAGGAGGGGGTCACAATACCAGATATCAGGTTATTCTACAAAGCCACTGTAATCAAAACAGCCTGGTACTGGCACAAGAACAGGCATATACATCAGTGGAACAGAAAAGAGAACCCATAAATTGACCCAAGACATTATGCTCAATTAATATTTGACAAAGGTGGCAAGAGCATACAATGAAGTAAAGACAGCCTCTTTAATAAATGGTGTTGGGAAAATTGGACAGCTACATGCAAAAAAATGAAACTAGACCACCAACTTATACCATACACAAGAATAAACTCAAAATGGATAAAAGACTTAAACATGACTTGTAAATCCATAAAAATCCTAGAAGAAAATGTAGGCAATAAAATTTTAGACATCACACACAGCAGAATTTTCACTGATATAATACCTAAGGCAAGAGAAATAAAGGAAAAAATTAATACACGGGTCTACATTAAACTGAAAGGCTTCTGCACAGCAAAAGAAACAAGCATCAAAATTGAAAGGGAACCCACTATATGGGAGAGCATGATTGCCAATGATACATCAGATACATCAGATATGTAGAGTACTCATACAACTCAACAAAAGGAAGACAAAGACCCAATTAAAAAATGGGCAGAGGACCTGAATAGGCACCTCCTCAAACAGGACATACAAATGGCCAAGAGACCCATGAAAAAATGCTCAGCGTCACTAATCATCAGAGAGATGCAAATTAAAACTACTGAGAGGTATTACCTCACACCTGTCAGAATGGCCGCCATCAACAAATCATCAAACCACAAGTGTTGGCGAGGGTGTGGAGAAAAGGGGACTCTAGTACACTACTGGTGGGAATTCAGACTGGTGCAGCCACTATGGAAAACAAAATGGTGTTTCCTCAAAAAATTAAAAATGAAACTTCCATTTGACCTAGTGATCCCACTTCTAAGAATATACCCGAAGAAGCTTGAAATACCAATCAGAAAGAATATATGTACCCCTATGTTCATAGCAGCACTATTTACAATTGCTAAGATCTGGAAACAGCCCAAGTGTCCATCAATAGATGAGTGGATAAAAAAACTTTGGTACATATACACAATGGAACACTATGCAGCTGTAAGAAAAAATGATCTCTTATCCTTTGAGATGACATGGAGGGACCTGGAGAGCATTATGCTAAGTGAAATAAGCCAATCAGAGAAAGATAAATACCACATGATCTCACTTATTTGTGGAATATAATGAACAAAATAAGCTGATAAAAAAAATATATACCCAGAGACACAGAAAGGAGTACGCTTCAGACTGACAAACCTCAGAGGAGGGGGGCAGGGAGGAGGGATGAGATAAACCAAAGAACTCAAATGCATATATGCATAACCAATGGACACAGACAACAATCCTGTGTGTGTGTGTGGGGGGGGGGGGGGTCGGGAGGAGGGTGTCTAGGGGAGAATAAGGAGAAACATCCATAACAAAAATAATTTAATTAATAAAATTAAAAATAAAAAAAAAATTAGATGGCAAGCAGCTTTGGCCCACAGGCTATACTTTGCTGACCTCCTAGTCTAGACTAAGCTCAGGGTCTGTGTTTAAAGAGTCTTTTCAGAGAATGTGCCTCTGGCCTCAGGAAGCACAGCTGTACAATGCACAAGAGGTTCTGATAACACAGCTATGAGTCCAAGTCCCCAAAGAAACCAAATTCCCTTATGTCAGGGTGATGGCAATGTCAGCTTGATGGTGATTAGAATTGGTGGCCAGCCACTACTACCCTGCCCTTCTAGCCCAGTGATGTGTTTGAGGAAATTGAGACTCAGGTGTTAACTGCTGCACAAAGATAAAAAATCTAACTGAACAAATGAATGGGTGATGTACAGTGTGCAGCCCTAGTGTGAGGTCAGTGCCACAAACTAGAGCCCAATGGCTCACCATGTGGACTGGACAGGACTCAAATCATCTTAGCTTTTTTGCATCTATCCCTTAAGATCCCAGAGTGAACCCTGCAAATAGTTCACTGAGTTAAACTGAGGCATTCAGAAGAGACCCTAAATTCTTAACCTCAGACCAGGGGAGGTTGGTGCAAGATTAAAAACTGCAATCACACATCCCCCCCTACCCCCCACCCAAGCCTTTCCTCTCTCCTCTTTTTACTTGCAAATACATTCTCCATATCACAATTGGAATTATCTTTCTATCTTCAGGGTTATCTTTCTAAAATGTAAATCTGATCATGTAGCTTACCTGTTCAAAAGCCCTGCAGTGGCACCTCACCCCTCATCCTGTAGCACCAGGCTCTTCATACTTGACCCTGACCATTGCCTGCCATGTGCCTCACTGTACCCCAGCATTGCTGGGGAAATGTTTGTCTTCTACTACATCGCCAGCATGTTTTGTATTGTATTCTCAGAATAAAGCACAAACTGAGTACCCAATCAACATCTGAAAAATTGAATTTTGCTATTTGCTACTGAGGTTGTTGTATTCGCTGCATTGGATGGTGGGAGTGAATGAGGGAGAAAAATCAAAACAGGAGCACTAAGGGGCAGCACAGTCGCCATGTCTCAGGGAAATGCCTTGAGCCTCAGACAGACAGGGTGGCTGCTACAAGAACAACAGTAATGGCTAATATTTTTATGATCATTATGTCTAAAATGTAACAGATTCAACCTTTTAGACAGAGTACCAGTTTTTTTCTTTCTTATTATCCTCACCCAAGGACATTTTTTTCCATTTTTTGTTCAGATAGAGTGGGAGGGAGAGAGAGGAAGAGAGCGAGAAAGAACATCGATGTGAAAGGGACACATTGAGTGGCTGCCACCCGCATGACCCCAACCAGAGCCGGGGTAAACTGCAACCGAGGTACATGCCCTTAGTGGGAACTGAACCCAGGTCTCTCTGGACCGCAGGCCAACGCTCTAACTGCTGAGCCAAACCGGCCAGGACAGAGTACCAGTTTTTTATAAACAAATTTTATTATTTAGAATAGCTTTAGATTTACAGAAAAATTGCCAAACAGTATAGAGAGTTTCCCTATACTCCACACCCACTTTCCACTACTATTAACTGCTTATATTACTATGATACATTTGTAATATAATACAATACATTATAATATAATACAATATTAATATACTGTTTTTATTATTTAAAAAATTATTAGTATTAAATAAAGTACATACTTTATTTAGGTTCCCTTAGTTTTTACCTAATGTGTCTTTTCTGCCCCCCCCCCCCCCCCCCGGGTCACATCAGGATACCATATCACATTTAGTTGTCATGACTTCTGCTTCTCTTGGCTGTGACCATTTCTCAGCCTTTCCTGGTTTTTGATGACCTTGACGAGTATTGGTCGGGTATTTTGTAGAATGTCTCTCAGTTGGTATTTATCTGATGTTTTTCTCAGGATTAGACTGAAATTATGGTTTTTTTGGGGGGAAGACCACAGAAGTAAAGTGCTATTTTCATCACATCATATCAAGGGTACATACTATCTGCATGACTTATGACTGTTGATGTTGACCTTGGTCACCTGGCCGAGGTAGTATGTGTTAGTTTTCTCCACTGTCAAGTCTTTCTTTAATCTCTCCCTTCCCACACTGTACCTGTTGGAAGAAAGTCACTATGCACAGCCCACACTTAAGGACAGGGACATTTTGCTCCACCTCCTCGAGGGCTAAGTATCTACATAAATAATTTGGAATTCTTCTGCATGTGAGATTAGTTTCCTCTCCCTATTTATTTATTTATTCCATCATTTATTTATATCAGTATGGGATCATGGAGATCAATTTTATACTTTGGATTGCAATCCAATGCTACTCTTAATTTTGTTGCTCAAATTGTTCCAGCTTTAGCCATCGGGAGCTCTTTCAATTCCCTCCAATGTCCCATCATTGTGGTTGGCTTTTTTTTTTTTTTAGCAGTTCTTTACTTTTTGGCATTGTAAGATGCTCCAGGATGACCTCGTATATTTCCTGCCCCCATGCTAGAATCAGCTATATCGCCAAGGAGCCTGGTCTCTTTTATTAGAGAATGATGTTAGAAACCTAGATCTGGTGCTAGGTATGCTTATTGATACTGGTGTCTCATTGCTTCTAAAGGCCCTATCTACTGTCCAAGTAAGGAGATACATATGTCTGTACCAACCTGTGCATATACATATATCTTGGAGTATTTCTACATGTAAAAAGTACCAGTTTTAACAACAAAGTCATTTCCCCTCAGTGGATAAAACTTTTTCTGACAAATAGGATATTTAACTTTATAACCTAGAATTTTACTTCAAACCAAAATAAGAATAGATGGGCCCTGGCCCATCTTTGAATATTCAGTGGTTAGAGCGTCAGCCCACAGACCAGAGAGATCCGGGTTTGGTTCCCGTCAAGGGCATGTACCTCAGTTGCAGTTTGTCCCCAGCCCCAGTTGGGGTTGTGTGGGTGGCAACTAGTCGATGTGTGAGTCACACTGATGTTTCTCTCTCTCTCTTCCTCCTTCTCGCACTCCTGCTCTATCTGAAGATAAATGCAAAAATGTCCTCGGGTGAGGATAAAAAAAAAAAAGAAGAAGAATAGATGGGCTTTGGGGATATTTTGGTCTGTTTATTCTTTTAAAAAAAAAACAACTGATTTGAGAGAGAGGAGAAAGGAGAGAGAGAGAAACATCTATTGGTTGTGTTCCGTGTGCAACTCAACCAGGGATCTAACCCACAACCTGCATACCTGGGTATGTGCCCTGACTGGGAATTGAACCCACGACCTTTTGGTGTAGAGGATGACGCTCCAATCAACTGAACCACACTGGCCAGGACTTGGTCTGTTTTACATATAGGAATTTTGAAAAGATAATTTCTCTTCTAATCTTCTCCTTCCTCCATGTTTCTATCTGTTTCCCAGAGGTGGCTTATTAAATTTTATTCACTTCCTGGTGAGTGGTCAGGAAGTTTGCTGAATTTGGCCAGAACTGCATAAGCCTCCCTGGTTGACCTGGTATACTTACTTGAGCAGTGAATGGAGTTGGAGCTGTGTGAGACTGTTCTGCCTTAGGAATGACCTGGGTCTACTGATACAGGGTGTATAATATAGCACCAACACCAGATGGGCCTTCTTGTTCCTTGTGCAGGGAAATGAAAGGGTCCTTGTGTTGGGGGAAGGTTGTCGGCCCAACCCACCACCCACCCCACCTGAAGGTCACACCTTTCCACCAAAACTCACTGGGAAGAGTCAGGGTAAGACCCACTAAGGTACAACTCCACACCGAGCTGATCACACTGCACTCAGTCCACTCTCATACCTGCCTGCCCACTTGTTCAACAAACATGGATTGGACACCAGGCACAGGCTAGGCACAGGGACACAGAATGGAGGAGGCTCCTGCCCTTCAGGAACTCCCAGTGTAATGAAGCAAGACAGTTAGTAAAAATAAATAATTGGAATATAGTGTGGTGTCATACTAGAGAAAAGGCTCTTAGCCTGGGTCCATGGATGGACTTCAGGGTGTCTCCTAAAATTAATTATAAAAAGTTATATACACTTGCCCTGGACAGTTTGGCTTAGGGATCAGAGTGTTGGCCCGTGGACCAGAGCGTCCCAGGTTCGGTTCCCACTAAGGACACGTACCTTGGTTGCAGTTTGTCCCCGGCACCGGTTGGGGTCGTGTGAGTGGCAACCAGTCGATGTGTCTCTCTCACATTGATGTTTAAAAGAAAAAAGTTAACACACTGAATATTCCCTGTTTGTCCCCCACTACACCTTCTCTACCCTACTGTGTCCCAGAAAGCCTAACCTGTACAGACTGTCACATGGGTTCACTTGCCTATGGGCTTTCAACTGGCTTTGGCCAATGGGAAGAGCCACCGGGAAATCTGAGAGAAGAGAGAAAAGTAGAGGTACACATTTTTCCACCAGTGTATTCCTCTGCCCAAGGCCACGGCCCTACTAGCTGCCTCTCTTACAGTCACAGCTGTATTGCTTCCTGGGTCCCCTTTGTCTTCCAGGATTAGGGGTGGTAACTGCTCCCTGTTTCTTCCTAGCCCCAAGGTGCTTCACCATTCCTGTTGGGTTCCCTAAATCCTGCCTATGTCTTTGTAAAGACTGCCTACATCAAACTCCCTTAAAATAGGTGAGTCAGAATCTCAAAGGGTTCCATGACTCAAAGAGGTAAAGCAGCCATTCGAGCTGAGGTGCATACAACGTGATGTGGATATCGGAGGAAGGTGTGCTATCCATAACTCCACTAGCCGTATGAAAAAGTGCTCCTCTCAAAATGCAAATCCAATCAAGGTATTCCCCTGCTTAAATTCTGTAGTGGCTTCCCACTGCTCTTAGAATAAAGGCCAAACTCCTTAATGTGGCCCACAAAGCCCCACCTCACCTGTCCCTCTCTAATCCTACCCCAAACATTTTTTGTTTGCTCGCTGTAATCCAGCCATCCTGACCCTTGGGTTCTGCATTGTGCCAGGCTCCCTCTAGCCCTGAGGCCTCTGCACATACTGTTCCTCTGACTGGAAAGGACCCCCCATCTTCTCTCCTCATTCTCTAGGACTTGGTTCAAATGATGCCCCCAGTCCAGGTCAAGTTCCTCTGTCACATACCCAGAGAGGACCCTGAATCCCAGCTCCGGAGCACTTAGCCCACCTTGGAACACATTTTTGTGTTTTGCATTTGACATTTGTTAATATCTGCCTTTCCCACTAAACTGTAAGTTTCATGAGGGATGGAATGATGTCTATTTCTGTTCACTGTTGTGTCCTCAGCACAGTACATGATGCATTCAAGATGCTCATAAGGATTTATAGAGAAATGAATGACTGAAGGTGATATTTGAGTCAGACTGTGAGGGGTCAGTTTGCCAGGAGTCTAAGTGGCCACGTGAGGGCTCAAGAACGGATTAACCTGCTCAGTATATCCTACCTGGACTTTCTTAGGCAACAGGGAATGGCCAATGCCTCCTTCTCAACCACAGGATGAAAATAACCCATCCACATTACCTTTATGTTGGGAGTGAGAATCAACTCAAACTGGTTGTAGAACTCCTTGGGGTTGGGCAGCTGGTTATCCTTCGCAGTGTGCAGGAATGCCTCAATGTCGTTCAAGGCAACTTCAACACCCTCTCGCGACTGGCACTTGTCTACAGCTTGGGAAGCCAAGAGGTAGATTCCCGCTTCACACCACTGGCTGACCTTTTGAAAAGAGACACAATGCTCTGTGCAGTTAGCCTGGCTGCGACTCAGCCACCACAGTCCTCAGGAGGTCTGAGCTCCTCGGGGGTGTACCAGGGTTCTGACACAATAGGAAATTGTCATGGAACAGCGTCAAGTCAAGAGGTCTAACCACTGTAAATACAACTGTGAGGGGGGCAAACCAAAACCTATTTTACATCTGACTTCGCAGGGAAGTCACCCAATCAGTAAAATGAATCGTGTAAACATTCTTCCCTTTTCTACTGATAGTAATTATACCCCACCAGGAGAAGAAAGTTAAGTACTTCTTTTTTTTTTTTTTTTTGAATTTATCTTTATTGTTGAATGTATTACAGACATTCTTCATTTTTCCTCTATTGACCCCCTCCTCCCCACTCCTGCCCCCCTCCTGACTTTCCCCACACTGTTGTCTATGTCCATTGGTTATGCATATATGCTTATAAGTTCTTTGGTTTATGTCTTCCTACCCCCACCCTTCCTTCCCTTTGAGGTTTGTCTGTCTAACAACCAATTTGTACTTCTTAATTCTTTCACCTTTTTTACCCATTCTCCCAAACCCCCTCCCATCTGGCAACCAACAAAATGTTCTCTATATCTATGAGAATGTAACTGTACTGCTTGTTCATTGTGTTTGTAGATTCCATTGTTGATAGATATGTATTCATTGCCATTTTGTTTGTTCATATATTTTATCTTTTTCTTCAAAAAGACCCTTCATCATTTCATATAATAACGGTTTGGTGGTGATGAACTCCTTTAACTTTTTCTTGTCTGGGAAAGTCTTTATATGGCCATCGATTCTAAATGACAGCTTTGCAGGATAGAGTAATCTTGGTTGTAGGTTCTTGGTTTTCATCACTCTGAATATTTCTTGCCACTCCCTTCTGGCCTGCAAAGTTTCTTTTGAGAAATCAGCTGACAGCCTAATGGGAACTCCCTTGTAGGTAACTAGCGGCCTTTCTCTTGCTGCTTTTAAGATTCTCTCTTTGTCTTGAACCTTTTGCACTTTGATGATGATGTGTCTTGGTGTGGGCCTCTTGGGGTTCATCTTGTTTGGGACTCTCTGTGCTTCTTGGACTTGTATGTCTGTTTCCTTCACCCAGTTAGGAAAGTTTTCTGCCATTATTATTTCAAACAGGTTTTCAATTTCTTGTTTTCTCTCTTCTCCTTCTGGCACCCCCAAGATGCGAATGTTGGCATGCTTGAAGTTATTCCAGAGGCTCCTTACATCATCCTCATTTTTTTAGATTCTTTTTTCTTTTTTGCTGTTCTGATTGGGTGTTTTTTGCTTCCTTATATTCCAAATCAATGGTTTGCTTCTTGGCTTTACCTACTCTACTATTGAATCTGTGTAAATTATTCTTTATTTCAGTTAGTGCCTCCTTAATTTCTGACTGTGCATCCTTCATTTCGGACTGCTCATTTTTTATGTTCTTGAGGTGAGGACCTCAAGGACTAAGTTCATCGAGCATCCTTATAAGCAGTATTTTGAAATCAGCATGTGTCAGGTTGCTTATCTTCGTTTCGCTTAGTTCTTTTCCTGGGGTTTTGTTCTGTTCTTTCATTTGGGACCTGTTTCTTCGTCTCCTCATTTTGGCTGCCTCCCTGTGTTTGTTTCTATGTATTACTTAACGAGAGGTATGGGGCTAGCTGAGACCAGATGCTGCTTGTTTGAAAGAATTAGGAAAACCTGAAGCAGAATCAAAGACCTGTGGTAAAGCAACTGGCAACAGCTTGGGTGAGCCTGAAAGTTGGGTGGGGTGGGGCCTCAGGGAATCACCAGGGTGGGGCAACCAGTGTGAGCCAGGTTGCTGGAGTCCCAGATATGGTGGCTGTCTGCCGCCCCAGGGAAGGGCTCACCAAAGGAACAAAGGCCTCTGACACCACATCTGTCCAGGAGAAAGCTGTCTCTCCAGCCCTCGCTCCAGTGCCAAACAACTCAGTTCTTCCCCATATATCTCTGGTGCCTTTCAAGCTGCCTCCCCCACACTGGAGCCTGGAGGGTGTGAGTCTGATAAGTCCCTGCGCAGGCCCTTTAAGAGGAGCTGCCTCGGGCTCCAGCTGCCTCAGCCTCCCTCAGCCTCAGTTCCCGCTGGTTTTTCCAGCCAGAAGTTATGGGGATTCTCTTCCTGGCACTGGAACCCTGAGTGGGGCGCCTGATGTGGGACAGGGACCCCTCAGTCCTCAGGGAGGACCTTCCAGCAAGGCATCCTTCTAATTTTTTTCCTCCACGTGTAGGTGTGGAACTAGCCTGTCCACCTCCGCCCCTCCTACCAGTCTCAGTGTGGCTGCTGCTTTAATTCCGTAGTTGTAGGACTTCCATTCAGTTTGATTTCAGGTGGTTTTGAATGATGGTTGTTCTGTAGTTTAGTTGTAACTTTGATGTGGTTGTGGGAGGACACGATACTGCGTTTACCTACGCCGCCATCTTGACCTGAAGTTGAAAGTTAAGTATTTCTAAGTTTGGTCTAACTACAGAGAAATGTAGCCAATGATTTTTCGAGTTGGCCTTCTAGGCCACTTGTCTTGCCTCCTACTTGGTTACAAGAACACAGGGTAATTAATGAGGCATCAGACCCCACCCCCACATGCTTTCCTGGGGGAGGGACTGTCCTTTCAACAAAACCACCACTTTCTTCTGCCCACATCTGCCCTTATTGTCATCTGTCTTTCCCAGGGAAGCATCCAAGAATGACAAGTTCTGTAATTCAGAACAGCAATATTCAAACTTTCCAGACTGTAGGATGAAATTCAATAGGTATTAAATTCTAACAAGTCTAAAGCTCTAAACAAAAAGATGTGATGCCTGAACATTTATATGAGAAGCGGCTGCCAGTAAAAGTACACCTGCATTTCCACTCCACGTGACCTGAAGAGCTACGCGAAATAACTGCACAGGGTGGAGAGCACTCCAAAGGAGTTATCGCTAGGTAGGAAATTACAGGCAACCTAAATCTGTCTTTCTTCCCCTAAATGATTTACACTGAATGTGTACTACTTTTAAAATAAAAAAACAATAAAGATATTTAAAGATTAATGATTACCACTGTGTGGGGATGAGAATGGAAGTCGGATGTGCAGGCATTTATCAGAAATTTTCCCCTCCTCTTTCCTACATTTTTGCATTTTCAAAATAATATTAAATCATGCTTTAATATATACTGTGAAAACTGTCTTGAAACATCATACCTAAATCTGCAGAAAATATTAAGCTGAGGTCTTCTGCAGCGTTACAGTAGCTACTTGCTCTCTCTCTCACACACACACTCCACACCTCAGTTTAGTCTGTTATCTCTGGAGCAAATACTGAGAGGAAAACGGTAGTTGATCCTGCAGAGAGCTCAGCACACAGAGCAGGCTGTGCAGCAGGTCCTTCTGAACCGCTTGCTTCCGCAACAGCTGTATTTCATCAACATTAAAAGGCAATGGGATAGTGTAAATAGCTCGGGTGGGTGCCCCCAGCCTTGGAGAGAAAGAGCCATAGGAATGGAGCGCGTGGACTCGGCCATGAGCCATGTGCGGCCTGGGAACAGCTGACAGGGAAGGCTCCATGAGTCAGTGCCCCTGCTGACTGGGCACTTGTCTAAGAGATCACTGCCAAAGGGCACCAGAGGCTAAACTCCCTCCCTGTGAGCCCTCTGCACACACAGCATTGCTGTCTGGTCTAAGGAGTCTGAGGTTAGGAATTTGGCAGTCCTGACTTCAAATCTTCAATCCCCTATTTACTCCATGTGCAGACTTGGGCCATCACTTATCCCAGGGTTTCTCAGTGCATCCCTGAACCGTCTGCACCAGAATCACCTGGGCACTTGCTGAAAACACCAATTCCTCGGCATCACCCCAGACTTACTGAATCTCAGTCTCTAGGGTGGTACACCAGGGAATCTGCAATACAGCAAGCTCACCTGGCGATTCTAATGCACTTAATGTTGCAATCCACTGGCTTAACTGTTGGGAGCCGACTACATGCCTGACAGAGTCCACGGAGCCTGGAGATCTTGAGTCAGAGACTCGACCTCCCCCACAATCTCAAGGAATTAGGCTTGCATTGTGTTTATGCAGCTCAGGGCCAAGTGTGACCCAATGTACCTTGAAATACCTGAGATAACAGACTGGGTGTCCCTGGGTGCTCCTGCTATCCGCAAGGCAAACTAATTCTATACATTATTGTTGTAGCCCTGGGCTATCAAGACGATCCTATTTTCTTATATCACTAAACTTTTGCTGTAAGATATAAAAGGCATGTAATAAAGCATATCGAGGCTGATCCCGCTGAGGACAGTCCTCCTGATCCCATATTTGTGTCATTGTCTTCATTCCCAAACTCAGGGACTCTGTTCTCCAAGCTGGTTCCTGGCACAACCACGATGAATATTAGTTTCTGCTTCTGTAAAATGAGGCCATTAATACCCTTCTCATAATTTGTCTTGAGGATTAAACAGATTACATAATTATGCTCTCAGTGGGCACATAGGTGCTCAATAAATGGTAGGAGTGTATAATGGTCATTGTAACAAACCTCTCCAAAAGAATTCACAATCCGATGCCTTCAGAGGAGAAGCACTTTGAAAATATGTATAGTGCTCGGTCTCTGTATGCCTGAAGGAGAATAAAAACATGTCCCACAGGGCCAAGCCAAAACACATACTTTGTCTGGCTCCACACAGAGGAAAACAGACTTGATTCATTCTAATAGGATGTGGTGGGATGGCTGAGGCACTTTTGACCTTCAATGCCTCTATGACCTAGAATCTGCAGCTTTTAATGCCTCTTGAACACTGTTTCATATGAAGCTCTTTATCCTCTCAGCAACTGTATGGGGCAGGGAGGTCAGGTATGATTAAGACTGCCTTACAAAAAGTTTTACAGACATCATGGTCACAGGTTTGTTGTGCTTACCTTGTCCAGCTGTCTATGCAACTCTAAAGACTTTCCTAAAATGTCATATTTTTTCTTGTTTTCATTGATGAAGTCATCACAGAGGTGCCTGAGCTCCACACACTTGGGTCTGATGGAGTCCGCTGCATAGTGGTGGCTTTGGATGAGCTGGTCCCCAATTATTGCAAGCAGCCGGGCTTTTTCCAAGGGCTCCTGCAAAGTGAACATGCACAGCCAAGCATCACAGCCAGGTCATGGTGAGGCTGATATGTGCTTGAGACTGTGTGCTCCAATTCTAGAGGCGGCTAAGGAGATGCTGATTGAGATTTTAGGTGGAGAATGTGGGGCTGGGGAACCTGGGCAAACTCTTCCTTTCTCAAGAAGTCTGGCCTAGTCCAGGGTCATCTGCACTCTGGAGAAGAGCAAGTCATTTATTCAAGTATTTGTTGAGTTCTGGGGTAGGCACTGAGGATATAATGTTAACAAGTCAGAAATTTTCAGCCGAATGGAGAACTCACATATTAAATAAGTGATACAAATAATTAAATTATTACAATGTGATAAGTTCTAGGGCAGAAATGTTATAATGCACAGAATAGGAGACTCTGAATTCCACTGTCCACTAACTGGACAAGGACAGACATGTGGCCCTGAGGAGAATTGGGAATGAGCTAAAAAGATTTCATTTGGACAATTCTATGGGGAAGTCATGAGACTCAAGAAATATGTTCACCCTGGCCGGTTTGGCTCAGCAGTTGGAGCATTGGCCTGCAGACCAGAGAGCCCCAAGTTCAGTTCCCGCTAGAGGCACGTACCAAAAAAAAAAAAAAGTATGTTCATTTAAACCCCTTCCTGCGACCACAAGCTCACTGTCTGCTCTGACCTCATCTGTTCAGTAACCACATCTCCTCCCTCTGTCTGCAGAGCTTGCTTTGTTCTAACCACATGTGCCATATTTTTCTGATTTCAATCCTCACAAGTTACTGAGGCTTACCATGTGCCAAGCATTATGCCGGTACCAAGGGTTCCGTGGTAAACAAAGCAAGCAAAACCCCCTGCCCTCATGAAACATATATTAATAGGAGACACACGCAATGAACAATTAAATACATAGATTACATAATATCTTAGATAGTGATGAGTGCCATGAAGAAAAATCAAACAGGGAGGGAAGGGCAAGCAGCTGCTATCATGGATGGGATGGGGGAGGGAAGAAGGACTCACTGAGAAGGTGCTATCTGAGCTGTGCTGAAGAGCTAACACAGCAGGCCTGAGAATACTATCCTGAGAAAGGCCTGCTTGCAAGGTTGGCTCTTGGGTGGCATCTTGGAATGTCAGGAGGGGTCCTATCATCCCCATGCAGAATGGCTCACCATACCTAAACTGTGCAAACAGTATGCTTTATGCTGGACCCCTGCTTTCTTTCTGGGAGTCTGGATTCTGGTATATGCCAGGCAGAGGCTACCTACATGACCAGCTCCCAGTAAAAACTCTGAGACTGAGCACTGAGCTTCCCCGGTAGACAGCATTGTACAATGTTGTTACAGTGCATTGCAGGAGGGGTTAAGTGGGTCCCTCGGGACACCACAGGAAGAAGACTCTAGGAAGCTTGCGCCTGGTATCCTCTAGAGTTCACCCCGGGCTCCTTTTCCCTTCACTGATTTTGCATAGTATCCTTTCACTGTAATAAATTATAACCATAAGTATGATTATATGCTGAGTGCTATGAGTCCTCCTAGCAAATCTTCAAATCTGAGTGTGGTCCTGGGAACCCTTGACACAGGTGCCAAGACCTGAAGTCAGGGACAAGCCATGTAGTACTTGGCTGAGAGGCTGGAGCATGTCTGACATGTTCAGGTAGCAGGAGGAGGCTGTGGCTGGAGCAGAGGAGTGAGCAGGAAAGGAGCAGGTGGTGCAATCAGTGAGCAAAGAGACCCGATCTAGGGAGGGCCTTGGTGCCATTGTGAGCACTTGGCTTTCACTCAGTGTAACATGGGAAGCACTGGAGGTTTTGAGGAGAGGTCTCATTCATATAAGGATTGCTGCAGCTGTGGTGTCAAGAATGACAGAGAAGAGGCAAAGCAGGGAGACCAGTTCGGGGCTCCTGCAGTCATCCAGGTAAAGGATATGGCTTAAACAAGGCTGGCAATCAATGCCTTCCCCAGGATGCTCCTCCCAGGGCTACTCGGGTCTAAGCTCTCAGTTCACCTTCTGGCAGGCCTTCTCTAAAGACTGCCGTTTCTAAAGCCACTCGCTGCAACCCACCCACTCAGGCCCTCTCCCTCACTTTGTTTTCATTTTCTAACAACACTTACCTCTATCTGAAAGTATCTTAGTTTACTGCCATGTACGAGTTCTCCCTCCTTTACCCACTCCCACCAATATGTAAGCTCCATAAATATTTGATCAATAGAATGAATGAATGAATGAATGAATGAATGCACTAGATGATGCAGTCATCTGCTTGGCTGGAATTGTATGAAACAACACTGACCTGTGAGTCCACACAGATGACTGCCACATTCCCAGAGGTCTCCAGGAGCAGAGAGATCATATGCACCCCTTGGTACCACAGTGAGCGTCCGGTATATCACATTTGCCCCGCCTTAACTTTTTACAGTAACATAAGGAGTCATGATGACTCCAGGTGATGACAACTGGCTCCTCCCTTAACTTACAATGGTTCATGATTTTCAACAATCTCCAAACCTGCCCGTACACTACCAGTCATTCACCAAGCCCTGCAAAGCCCACGTCATAACACCTTCTGATTTCTGAGCCTTTCTCCACCACCTCCTTGTCACTGTCTGCTCAGGCCTTCCTGCTTTCTGACTGGGTTCCCCTAACACCCTGTGACTTTCTTGATCAGAGCCCGCCTCTGTTCTCCTTCAGGCTGTCCTTCAAATCATGCTCCACACTGCTGATGAAGCAACAATTCCAATAAATGCTTATTACATCTACGTACATCACTCCTAAGTTTCAAGTCCTTTCTTGCTCCCTACAGTCTTCAGGAGAAAATTCAAACCCCTGAGTAATGCAAAGAAAGCCTTTCATTATCAGGCTCATACCTGTGTCCCTCTGTTTTCGCTTCACCCTCACCCTCTGGGTTCCCCTAAAGCCCTGTGACTTTCTTGATCAGAGCATACACTTCACTGTATTATGATCACTTATCTGTTGCCCTCACTTTGTCATAGACCCTTGCAGGCATACCCCAGCTCTTATTCAATTTAAAATAATACATAGCACAAATTAGGTACTTAAATAACTGTCGTGCAAAACACAAAGTAGTAATGATATACAAACCAAGCAGCAGCTATTTAAAAGACCTCAGGAATAAATATCCTGGGCGCTTGTTCTGAACAACAAAGGCCCAGATGCACTGGTCACCACCCCTGAGAGAAGATAAGAGTGAGAATTCCTCAGTCCCCAATTCTGAATTCTGTTGCTCACTGCTGTGTTCTCAGAACTTAGAGCAGTGCTCGGCATGGCAGGATAGCAATAAATATTTGCAGAATGAATGAAGAATGAATGAGACACTCTTACTAGAACTGCTCCGCCACTGAACATTGACCCTAGGAGACATTCTGCAGCACAGAATTGACTCCACTACCTTGATGATATTAATGACAACAGCTAACATTTAATGAGACCTTACTACATGCCAGGCACTGTTCTGAATGCTTACATTGTTTCTTTTACTCTTCACAACAAACCCTTTAATATAGGTGCTGTGTTACAAAAGAGGAGTGAAGGCAAAATGACCCACCGTGACCCAGGTAGCAAAGACAGGAACAGGCTTCAAACTCAGGCAGCCTGGCTCCAGAATCTGGCTCTAACCACCACACACAGAAAAATGGCCACATCTGTTCTGTCTAATCTTAGAGACCTCATTTGGTTGATTAAACCTGTCTGACTTTAATCAATATGGAAGCATGAAAACTTGGCAAGGAAATAACTGTTGACTTTTTAAAAAAAACTTAGTGGCCTGCCCTGGCTCGTTTGGCTCAGCGGTTAGCACATTGGTCTGAGAACTAAAGGGCCGTGAGTTTGATTCCTGGTCAAGGGCATGTACCTGGATTGTGGGTTCCATCCTCAGCTGGTTTGGGGTCATGCAAGAGGCAGCCAATCAATGTGTCTCTCCCTCTCTCTCTCTCCCTCCCTTACTCCCTCCTTCCCTCTCTCCCACCCTTCTATCTAAAAATCAATGGGAAAATGTCCTCAGGTGAGGAATAACCAAAAGAAAATAATGTTTAACTGCCTAATTTATTAAGAATAGCACCAGTTTTCTGGGAACCGGGAATGTCACAGGATATTTGCAAGAGCCCTGTGGTGATCACAGCTTGTCCTTCACCTGGCATGTGGCATCACCCTTCAGAACTGTTCTTAAAACATGTGCTCTGAATAATGGCTGCACAACCATGACAATCAAATCCTTCAAAGAACTTTACTGTAAAACCTCCACATCACAGCTTATTTTTTAGTCTATACAGCTTCTGCTCATAAAAACCTAGGTAAAAAAGAAATACCGAGAAAGAAATGGCTGTAATCTGGTGCTCTCAGCACAAGCCTTTCAGATGCTAAAAATTCCAGAAGGCTAGATAGTCAAATTACAATATGTAATTAAAAATCTTTATTGTAATAACAGCTTATTTTTCTGCCCAGGGCTCTAATGTACAATGGACGAAAGATGGGAGTGTCCACTGTGGAAGAAAGTGGTGAGAAACGGTGATGCTGCTATACCAGGGAGCCCAGAATGGATCCGCAGATAATGGCATAGGATGAAATGTATGTATGGGAAAGTGGGCCAGATGAAAGAAGAAAGGTAGAAAGTTAATGGCTACTGAAACTGAATAATAGATACATGGGAGTTCATTGTACTAGTTAATCTACTTTTGCATGTGTTTGAAAATTTACACACACACACACACACACGCGCGCGCGCGCACACACACACACACACACAAAGTCATGCCCCTCTAGCTAGAGTATGTCCCTGGGAGGTTAACAATCTGGCTTCCATGCCTTCTTGGACACAGTAGTGTAACTGCTGGCCCTTGGCTTTGGGCAGAAAGGTCTAGGCTGAGATTAGTTAGTTCTCCCTGCCCTGTCCTGGTCTATTCCTGGCTAGTTCATCATCGAAGACCCTGGCATGCCTCCTAGCCAAAAACTCTGTAGCAAATTCTGCTTTTAAAAGTAAGAAACAAGGCTGAAAC